CAAAGATTGCCTTCGTCCAGATTCCACATTTGGACTTACACAGCTCCGTGGAACATTCTATTGATGGGGCGTCCCTTTGTAGCATTAAGAATGGGTGAGACAAAAATCAATAACGTTTTAATGAGAATAATCATAAATAATGAAAGAGCAGAGAATCTTCAATTCGAACGCAATGGGTTAACAAACACCACCAGATACACAACCATTGTCACCAACGAAGGCCGGCGCAGGTGCACAATGAGCTCCAACACATGGGTCGACAACTCTTGGTGCAGCAGGAACAACAACTGCAGTTTCACACGCCACACCAACACATGGATTAGCATATTCTCGTCCATAACCATGGTAACCATCATACGCTCTTTGAATTCCCATATTCACTCTGAAGATAAAGTTTCTCTTATAATTGTTGAAAGGTGAATCGTTGCATTGAACGGAGATTCCCGAGTTTCCACCAAAACATCTCTGACATGCATCAACTTGGTAAACTCGTCCGTTTCCTGTCGCCCATGTTCCTGTGTAGCCGTCACCAATGGGTGCCACGTTGGTCAAAGGGAGGGAGTTGTAATAGTTCAGGCAATCTCCATAATCACCATATCTCCAATAGTTTCGTTCGTATGTCGTTCCAACAATATAAGTTCGTCCAACAGTGAAACATCTGACGAATGTCACTCCAGGAGACGGGTGAGATCCACAGCTGTCAGCTCCTAGATGCCCTAATAGTGCTGATCGTCGCTTTCTTAAAGCAGGGTCGGAGATTGCTCGTGTTGTAAGTTCACCGAAGCCATCCTTTTCTAACAATTCCAATAATTCAGCAATGGATGGATATGTTGCATTAAGTGGTGGTGTCTGAGAGAAAACTGCACCAATACATAAACAGGAAAGCAAGAGAACGATTCCAAACTCCATGATATCAGATCACCTACGTCTTAAACCTCGTGTGATGGGCAAAATTTTTCACTTTGGAGCTTTTATATGTGAGTTAAAGGTTACTTTATTTGGACATGTTTATTCATCGAGCTGGCTGGAATATAAGATGGTTTAGAGTATATTTGTTGGGCTTATTTTAGGTGACTTGAGATAAAAGTAGAGTTTGTTTAAGGGTGTAAGACTACCAATTAATAAGAAAATGAAAGTAGAAAAGAAGTTGTAAGTGGTCTTCTGTGAAAAATGTCAGATGTAATCAAGAAGTTAAGATCATTGTTCTTCTATTATTTGAATTTTACCATTTGCATATGTACTAATTAAAGGCGAAATCCTCCTATTCGCGGGGATGGGTCATCGCTTTACTTGATTATTGGTAAACTGACATAGGTCTATATAGATGTTTATCCTTCAAACGAACACAGTCAATATTCGTATGAACGCTCGTAATAATTTAGAGATACTACAATACTACATTGAATAAAACATTGCATCGTCATTAATTCGTCGCGGACAGTAGGCAGCAGCAAGATGATAGAAGATTCATTATTGACTTTGCTAATTTTAAGATTATGTAAAGCTGTCCAACATAAGTACCGTGTTTCAGTTCAGATTAAGCCGATTCACTTCTTAAAGCATTTCCCGTAACGATTAAATCGTAACATTCTTAAAAAGTGTTTAAATAGATTGTAGAAATTCGGTGTTTTATTGTAGACAACATGAAACAACAATTTACGACAACAGTATGTTCGCCTGTGCATTGCTCGCGTGTTTTAGTATAGGTTTTGAACTCGTATTGAGGTACAACATAATATGTGTGATTACGTGCTGGTTAACCGCATGAAGGTACAGGATCTGAGTTTAGCACTTAAAATGGAAAATAGCTAACAAAATAGCCTCTATTTTTTAGAAAGAAATGGACCTGAAAATAGATAAGTTTGAAATTTTCTAAAATAGCTCTTTTTCGTCTGAGTTTAGCAGATTTTTTCTAATATAGCAATAGAGGCAAAGAAGAAAAAATGAGAATAGTAAGATATACTCAGATCCTGCACCTTCCTAGTTAACCGTTATAATCTAATGTGTCGAGAACCTTGTTTCTCTTTTTAAAAAGTAAGGTAAACAATTGGCCCTATAAGCACATCACTATGTATTCAGAGACATGTGACCAGACTAGTAAATTTGTAGAAAAGGGCCACTAATCACATTTGGATAAATTTTCCTTAAATGTTATTTGCTACCGAAATTTGAAGGATAGGCCTACTCTGAAATTTAAACAAAACAATAATCAAGGAGTATTTTATTTCCCCAACATTAAGTATTATTATCTACAAAATTTAATAGTTTAAAACAAAATGCCAACTGGCATTTTAACAAACACCTGAAGAGGTGCAACCATTATCATCTACAAATCCACGTTGTGCACTGCCAATGGCAGATCCGACGATTCTTCCCAATTCATGGCATCTGGTTCCTGTACATCCAGAGCTGCTAATTCGTCCACCCAGTCCACGGTTAATAACACCGCATCCTGCACCAACACAGCCATCTCCGTGCTGACCAAGTCCAGGATTAAGACTTGCAGACAACGCAGGATAAATCACACCGTTTGAACCACCGCAACCATTGCCTACGCAAGGTCCAGCAAAACCACCTCGGCCATCTGCTATTCCACCAGAATAGCCACCACATCCGTCTCCAAAACAAGGGTTATTGAATCTTTCTCCATTTCCGATTCTGTCACGACTACCACTACCACATCCGCTACCAACGCAAGGATTTCCATAACTAGAAACAGGCGCTCCATTGTAACCATAGAGACCAGCATTTTCTCGTCCGTATCCGTTATAACCATCATAAGCTCTTTGTACCCCTAAGTTGACTCTGAAGATAAAGTTTCTCTTGAGATGATTGTAAGGTCTATCGGTACCTCGTACAGAAATGCCAGAATTCCCACCAAAACACCTTTGACACGCGTCAACTTGATAAGCTCGATTATCAGGTCCATTAAGAGTACCAGTATACCCGTCCCCAATAGGAGCGACATTTCTTAAAGGTAAAGAATTGAAATAGTTCAAACAGTCCCCATAATTACCCTGTCGGTAATAATTTCTTTCATAAGCTGGTCCCTGAAAAGACCCGGGACCTGGTGTGAAACATCTCATAAAAACAACTCCAGCAGATGGTGTAGATCCACAGCCTGAAGAATAAGCACCACTATCATAAGGATTTTGACGTTGCCCAGCTCCAAATCGTCCTAACACTCCACCAGAACCTCCATGTACAGCTGATCGCTTTTGTCTATCGACTTCCTTTGTCGTGACAGCATCGAACTGGTCATCCTCAAGCGTATTGATTACGAATTTGACTGCAGCAGCAACATCGGTTTGGGCAGTAGCATCCTCCGATAGAACAGCGCCTGCTAATAGACAACTTATCAAAGTAACAATACTAGTAACCATGATGACCAATCACAAGTATTAATAATGAATTGTGATCGAGATGATATTATCTTTCATCCTTTTATACCTTTGTGTGAAGGAGCCAAAACTTATTCTTATCGTATATCATATATTTAATTTTATTTGACTCCAGTCCTTGGTATATTTACCTGGTCATAATATTTGATAGAGTGATAGAAGACAACATCTACTACTACGTGTGGACACCAATTATAAAGTCGATTGGAACGTGGGACAAAGCATTGAGGAGATGTTAAATTGTTTTTAACAAGTCTCACATACTTTGTAGTGTATATGAGAGTATTTTGAAATTTTGTGAAGAGTACAGGGCACAATTCTAAAGGTCGTCAGAAGATGTTTATAATGAAAGTGGGATTCATACTTCAGACTTTAAAATCTTCCAACTGAGATATTTTCATAAGAGAGACAGTTTCTCTGTAGAAGTATTGTCACAATGAGAAAAATGGAAAATTTTCATACTGTAATAACCTATCTGTTTACCTTCCGACCACAGTGAGCTCTGAATTAAATTTGTTTTTCTGTTATGTTGCGAATTAAAAAATAGCTATCTCAGAATGTATTTTTGTCCATAAAAATTAAAGATAAACCACCCAAGAAATTCTCTGAAATTGAACCATGTTTCGAATTTCAAATTCCTTCCTGTAAAATCGTATTTCCAAATAATTCTTTGCTTGATTTTTGATATTGGTTTTGATATTTCAACTGATAAAAATACAATTGGCAAAATGAGAATCTGTGAACATGGTGGTCGGAGAATATTTTTCTATTTTACATGGCCGACGGGAACTTTGTGAACTAGAGTTTAAGTTGCGTATTAAATTACATGAAACTGACACAAGTGAAACTCTAAGCATAGGGAACATTTGCTATTCTTCATTTTATACAGCTCTAGATCAACCTGTAACCTGAATCGCTACTCCAGAATATCTTAAAATGACGAAATATAGTTGAATCGTAGCTTTCGGTTTTGTAACTAGGGGGATCAATCTATCCAGTGAATAGATTTTAAAAAGTCTAGAATATGAATATATAAAAGTACATGTAGAGCTATTGGAGTCAGGCTAAAGAAGTTATGATGGCTGTTATTATACAACCTAATAGGTATTAAATCATTTTGATATAAGGTTTGTTTCAGAAAACATCTCATAACTAGAGCCAGTTGGCTCCCGACTGCTTCAATAATTGTCATATTGTTGCTTTGGGCTAATTCAGATGTCAAACCCCATGGGTCAAATAAACGAACGAACATCAACCCACCAAAGCTCATATGAAAATAAATCAAAATTTTCCAAATGATGCTTCTTTATTTAATAGTACACATTGATAATCTCCAAACTAAAAGCTGAACTCTATAACTTTACAATAATTTAACTACATGATCAGTCCGAGGTCAAAGTTCACTTTAACACCAGGCACCAGTGCAACCATTGCCATAGGCATAACCACTGTAGTGGACAGCAGGTTGGAAGACGAAGTTTCTGACGAGGTGGTTGTAAGGAGCAGTGTCACATCGTACTGAGATTCCAGAGTAACCATTATAGCAGTTGTTACAGGTATTGACAGTGTAGGATCTGGTTTGATGAGTGAAATGTCCAACGTATCCAGTAGCAGCTGGGACAACACCGGTCAAAGGTAGTGCCCGGAAGTAGTTCAAGCAATTATCGTAGGTACCAGTTCGGTAGTAATTGTGGACTATTTGGTTTCTTTCAACGTACGTATTTCCAGGATTGAAACATCTCATGAAATTGATTGAAGCAGCGGGAAAAGCACCACAACCATCACCAAGAGCATATCCAGTATATCCTAACAGGCTTCTCTTCTTTCTTTCGGCTCCATTCTCTTGTGTCTTGAGATTTCCGAAGTCGTCATCCTCTAACGCCTTTCCTACGACGATACAAACATCCGTTGTAGCTAAAGTATCATTTTTCGGTGGCGCTTGGCAAAAGATAGCTCCGACAAATAGGAAAGTAACCAAGGTAACAAGACTGGTAGCCATGACGACAAACGAAGATCACTATGTCCAACAATAAAACGGTGATGGTAGGGTCTGAATTCTTCTTCTACTTTTATACCCTCTCTAAGCATGACGTGTTTTTTCTTGTAAAGTGTCAAATTTAAAACATTTAATTAAACTGGACGATGACTTTTTAAAAAACAATCTAAGGTCCAAAAATAAACAAGGCATGTTATTTGAGGTTTTTCTTGAAATACTACAAGGGTAAAATGAAAGGTTAATGCAAGTTTTTTGTTTTAATTGAAGGTGTAATCGCCCGATTATCCAAACACTATCATAGTATGTAGAACCAGTAATTCACTTAAAATAAAATAAACGAATAATTCTTTAGTATGCTGTACAAATTAAAATTTTGTCAAATATTTTTAATCCATTTTTCGTGTGTTTTTAACACTTTAACTGGGGACTTATAAAAAATTAAATAGTGTTATTGCATTTCTTGGTATTTCAAAAGAATAATCATTAATGTATTGCCCGCATCAGCAATGAATATATTATGTATTGTTTTCTGTAATTAAATTTGATGGTAATAAGGTAGAATAGAAAGAAACTATAACTATTCATCAGAATTAAATTGTATTTGGAACCCGTTTGAAAGGATGAATTGAAGCTGAAGCTTGAATTAAAACGGTCTTACACTTAACTAACTGCTTGGTAATCGCCCCATTTCCCCAAGCTTTATCGGGTATTATTGGGACCAAAACAGTCCTGTGAGAAATGTCCCTATAAGCACTCTTAGAACGACTGATTTGTCTCGTGATCCATTGGTCGGGACTCATTCGGGTCAAAAGAAGGGGGCAATCTTGCCCAGATCTGGCCGATTGGTAAAAAAGGCAATTGTTGGCGAATTGGGGGTATTAATCAATGTGACAATCAACGCCATTATACTCGTCGTCTAACTCGGCAAAGGATTTTCAATTTTTTTTTGTCCTGTGAAATGCCAATCCATGACTTTTTACCATGAAGTTGGCCCATCGAGTAGTATAGTTACAGAATAATATCGCTTCACTTCCTTCATCAGATTATTTGCGAATTAAATAATCTACAAGGGGAATGAATAATTAATATTCATAATTCAAATCAATTTCAATAAGTCTCGCCAAACGACAAATACAAAGCTACAGTAAGAATATAAACAAAGAAAATAACATATATAGATTTATATTTGTAACATGGATGAGGTAAGAAATATAAAAATGTGAACACTTTGTTTCCAAGATTATATGATGATATGAGTTATTATTCGAAATTAAATGAAATGGTTGGAAACATACAAGCAAGAGCAAGATGCTATGAAAATAATTAATCATTATTGTCAGTAAGAACAAACTTCTTCAGTTCTTGTTTAAATGTATATAAAGAAGGGTTGTGTTTTACAGTTTGTGGTAATGAATTCCAATGTAAAGAAGCTGTATATTGAAATGTTCTCATCATTGTAGTTTTATTGCATTTCGGTATGTCTATATAGTTCAAATAACGTCTTAAAATTGTCTCTCAGATGCTAAACATTCCAATGAAAAGTAGACACAAGTTTAGTTGTAAATCTGATTTTACAAATGTTTACTTTGTAGTGATGGACAATATTTAATGAAGAATCACCGTGGTCTTACAGAATAAATATCATTGAAAAGCAAAACTAGATTTTCTGCACAGATACTCATCTGTTCTTTTTTTTTAATTTTCCCGGTGTACTCATAGGTTTCCAGCCTACATTATTTTGTCTAATGATTCCAGATAGAGTATTGACATGGATTAGCGACAGAATAGTTCTGATGTGACAAAACCGTGGTCTCTGTGAGCTGCCCATCTGAAGTTTATGTAGGCACGGTGAGAAATGCGCACACATTTGCAACAGATATGCTCACTTTCACAAAAAAGGTGCTGAAATTGTTTATTTACTAATATTTTGTCTTTAAAAAATACAGAGTTTATGGCTGAGCTTCCTGACAAATGTGAAGTGTAAAAAGGTTGTCAGGTTTTGTCCAATTACTAAAGATGGTAAAAGTGAAGTGTTTGAACAAAATACTTGACAAGTTGAATTTACCTGGTTTTACATTTCTTAATTACTTGTCATCTTCACTCAACAATGTTCAAATATAGGCACAACAGATGAAAATTGATAAGTACCATCTTCAAAGAGTCAAAGATTTCACTGAATAAATAACACGACAGAGATACAAACACTTGAGTCGCTAAATTTAACTTTACTTTTGTTTTATGCAGTACAGACTAATTAACAGGTAAAATCTGCATGTAGACCTTTTTATAAAATTCACCTTATCGCCCTTTAATTTGACATGCTGATGGCGACACCTACATAGTTTAAGAGTACAACTTCAATCCGTAAGATGACATCAAAGACAAGGTTAAAATTCGTTGATTATCTGACCTAATCGACCCTAAGAAACGAAATTTGTTTATCCTGCCCCCCTCCCAACAATATAAATATTTGTATCTATATAAGAATTCAGATAACCACACGTTCTAAGAATCATGATTATTACGTGGCTTCTCTTTACTGCCAGAGGCGAGTTCTCCAAAAGATCGGAGTTTTTTCTAAATAGAAGACTTCTGAATTTGACATAAAATTGAAAATTGTTTTTAAGATATTTTCAGTGAAAATGATGCACGTTTCTGACTGAAACTTGTTTTCTGTATGTATATTATTTCTTAAAGATAATTCCTTCGTCGGTTGGTATTTCTACCGAATAACTTATATAGACCATCACAAAACTGGTACAGGGGTCTAATTAGTCTGAAACATCTGCCTATTCGAGCCCGTGATAGTTATTATGACAGTTGTCGGCTGGAGTGGAGTCAGAAAAAGAAAGCCATGTTTTATGGAAATTTTCCACATTTTCGAAGGTGCGTTTTTAAAAATATTGAATTACCTTTAAGATGACTGTAAATTAGAAAACAGTGTTGGGCATTACAATCAGACATATCCCACAAAACACGACCTAGTTTATCTGTCTCTACACCTGTCGACAAGTGTCAAAATAGCTAATAGCGACGTGAAAAGAGGCAGATGTTCGGTCTAAAGTCGAATCAGATCAAACTTTTTATACACTTACTAAATAATCTAACTCAATATAAAATTTTTATCATAAAAAAATTTGATGATGTAAAATTTCATTTCAGACCAAGATTGATATCTCGCTGTGGGCTATATATGTTTTGTCTTAATCTTACGAGAAACCATATGAAATATTCCTTAATTTATCTTAAGTTTTTCTGAAACATATAAACTTGAAATCCATGAAATTTGTAAAGTTTTATTATCAATATACACATGTTCTACCTAGAAATTACATGCAAATATTTCGCACGGAAAATTCCCCTCTGTAAATTTTTAAGTGATAATTTCATAGGTAAGCATTAATTTTATCACACCAAGGATAATCTAAGTATATCAGAACTATTTTGGTTTTTCAAATTATTTCCAAAATTCGAGTTTGAAAACAATGTGGCCAAAAGCGTCACAGCATTGGTAAATATTCATTAGATTTAGTTGCCCTTCTGACTAACGAATTCGTTAAAATAGTTTTTCATATTTGATGCCGATCGGTTTTTTAGGTAATGGTATATCCAGTTAACATAATACGCTACAATACGTCGTTTGTCTGGTAATGTACTTAAAAAATGTGACCAAAAAACCGGTTTGCCATTCAGTAACTGCAAAATATACAGGAAAGCTCTCTGGTCGATAACTGAGAAGCAACTTTTAAAAAAAGAAATTATTTTCTAAAACCCGATTAGGTTGGTCTACTCATTTACTCATTCAAACAGACCACTAGAAAGAGGTTATTGAACAAAAAGGTGAATAAAATAACCTCCTTAGGCTCACAGAAGAGTTCTAAAGACTATAAACTAAGACAGGGGGCGGGGCCTTCTTGAATGTTTACGTGCTAAAAACGCATTTTTAAGAACAAGGGCAATAAGTCATTCTCATTATTTCGTTTCGTTAAAATCTGCGAATAATTGAACCTTCCAGAGCATTTTCAAGAACAAAGGCAATAACTCATACTAATTATTTTTCGATTTTGACTCACATTAAGTTTCATCACAATCCGTCAAGAATTGCGCCTTCTAGAGTGTTTACAAGCTTTTCAAGGACAAGGGCGATAACTATTGGGTTCATCCTTGGGTGATAACAAACATTCACACCAGGTTTCGTCAAAATCGGTCAAGAATGGAACCTTCTAGAGTGTTTACAAGGCAAATTGAACAAGGGCACTAACTCATATTTATTATATTTCGATTTATCTGATTTTCAATCGGGTGATAACAACAACTCATACCAAGTTTCATCAAAATCCGCAATTGTTTACGAGCATTTCACGAACAAAGGAATAACTCATTCTAAATTTTTTTCAATTGTGGACGGACGGAC